TAAAAAAATTACACTTGGCGAATGATTAAAAAGAAACTAGGTTCCCACAGTGAAATATTAGGAGATGCCACATGTTCCGTTTAAAATGCCAGATTCAACTTAATCTAACCAGAGGGCGTCACGTTCAACGCATTATATTGCTATTTATTATAAAAATGTATATTAAATTACATTATACACGAGTAATTAATTGTTGTAATGTCAATTACTTTGAAAACAACCGAAAATTAACTACAATTTTAAATAATGTTAAACATCTTTAATTTTTTACTAAAAAGCAAAGCGTGTCTAAAAAGTCCCTAATAAATTTATCAGATAATGTTTTATATTGTAAGTTCTTTTGTAATTTAAATTTAGTTTAATATTTGTGTGTGACACATACATTTCATAATACTTAACTCAATGAATTTGGACTTTGGCCCACGCTTTTCTTTTTAGTCAAAAATTAAAGATGTTTAACATTATTTAAAATTGTAGTTAATTTTCGGTTGTTTTCAAAGTAATTGACATTTTAAATAAGATATGCTACAATTGATTGGTAAATTGTTCTTGTAATACAATTATTTTTAACTTATTAGTTCACTTTTTTTCTTTATCTATTTTTGTGTTTCTATGTTCAGATTATCATCGAAGCGTTGATTTAAAAGTGACTTTATTACTTTTGGCTATAATAATTCCTTTAGACTTGTGTCCTTATCTAAACCCTTAATATGCTCTGTCTCCACTGAAATGTTTTATTTTTATTTTAGAACACATTTTCACTTATTTTTTATGCAGTCATAATATCTTAGGTACAAAGAATGCATTATAATTTATAAATAACATAATTGCTCCCATGTCAGGTAGTCAAAAGTTTTCATCCAGAGATGCCTCCCAATGTTGTCCTAATTTCCTCTCAACGGCCCATATTAAGCCAGATAAACAATACAAGGTATAATAAATATAACTTTTTTTTTTATAGATTTACATACACACTTATACGACCGAATCGTACTTTATTTTAGAATAATTAATCATAATGGGTTTTTTGCAAAGATAACCAATACTAAATGTGACCGTTACACTAGTTATTATACTATTAGTTTGAATTGTGTATACTGTGTTGAAATAAACCATCAATTGGGTATTACCGTACGATTATACTCGTTATATGTCAATATTTTAATACTAAAATAAAATTATTTTCAAATTTGTATTTCAATTATTATGAAAATCGCCATCAGGTGGTGGTCGCGACGCCTATTTGCTACACTATTTGTCCGATAGGTCGCGCATCTGTTACGGCATAAGCCTAGTTTTTATGAAAATTAATATACAATTTCAATGGAAAACTGTCGTTCATAAAATGTTATTACGTAAACAATACTATCTTTTGTTTGTTTTTTTAAATTGCTTAAGGACAGCCTACAGGGTTAAGTCGTCAATGAAATTGGGTAGGTATTGCCAATATTATTTTATATGCGAGTTGCCTATAAAACATCAATTGTACAAAACGATTTACTGATCTGATGTACTTACCATTTTTGAGATTTTTCTGTGTATTCCATATAAAAACTGTAAAAATAAACAACAAAAAACACATTAATACAATATTGTGTTAGGTAGTAAACATAATAATATACAAAAGTATGAACACAAAAGAGAGCATAAATAGCACATAAAAAATTCGCCTGTTACATGTTAATCCTTTCAAACCGGAAGTCCATTACGTGCAGTCATTGATGACAATATAAATTGTAGTAAATAAACAAAAAATATATTTATCTACCATTATTTATTGACCTATCAATTTATATCAGTTCAAAATTAAAAATTGCAATCAAAATCAAAACATTCGGCTTTTGTTGATAAATCATTTTAAAATTTAAAAAAGATAAATATTTAATAAGTTACACACGATTGTGTAATTGTTGGCAATCATTAACTAACTATACCTACGACTAATTACAACAGGTTGTGGTATTTGATTACAAATTACAACCATCCAATGTAATAATTACATTAATTTAAGTACTTCAAATGCGGTTCATTCCCACTGGAAATTTAATTAAAACAATAATAAACCGGTATATTTTCAAACAACTTAAAAACTACTCTCTTCTAAAAAGCCACAACAATTTTTCTTTTTTAAATACAAATACCTTTTCCGCTCCACTTGTACAGCTTTTTTAAATTTTACAACGCATTAACATTGCATTAAGACATTTTTCGGTTGAATTTCCAAACGCCCTCCCCCCAACAATTTTTACTTCAGTTACCTTAGTAACCTAGACCTATACTATTTGTACAAAAAAGTAACTAAAATAAACCGGTAACTTAACCGGAACAAGTAACCGAAATGAAATAACTTGCCCACCACTGCAATTCTTCCCATTGAACAATAATCGTGCGGATATAAAAAGGTTTGTAGTTAATGTTTAACGTCACCAGAATGATTTTTTTGTTGGTTAGGACCAACAATAATTAATTATTCTACTCCCCACTGTTATTTTTTTTTTGTGTAATATTTACCTATCATCTACGACAAGAGTTAACTCAGAAAAAAAACAATAATAATGACAACCGAAATGGGAGCTATAAACCTTGAGTTTTTTTTTTTATTATCTAATTAACCCTGTGGTCATGTGATACTGGTCATATTATACGATGGTGATTATTGTTTTTGACTAGTCTAGGCCGACTTAAACAAGGTTATGGTCTGGAGGGTTGTGTTTACAACAAATGGAGCTGCAAGTAACAGTATTTATTACCGGTCTAACGAAATTTAACTAAAGATATTTTCGAGAAATTGCCTATACCTAACTTCTTATGCAACTGTTGGTATTTAAAGGTCCTCACAATCGAAAACATCCATGTCCCTTCTAGTTTTACTCAAAATACACACTGTTCCTTTTTCCATCCCCGCAAAGTCTTCCTTCAATTCGGAGGACGTGATACACTATTCATTAAATAAGTGCACTTCCCTATGAATTTTAGCTAAAACCATTATATTACACTACTTAATATAGCCACGACGATTCTTTATTGGTAACTAATTATTTTACCAAACCATCTCGGCAACATTTTTAATCATTATTCCAACCTAAACCAGGTCTATGATGGTTTTAGAGCAAAAACAATGACATTTTAGAGCCAATGACCTTACCCATTATTTAATGTATTCATTAAATTAATTTCATTATTCGATCGACAACATATTTAATGTTGATAATAGGCATTTTTAGCTTGGATGCTTAGCTGAGAAGGTATTGTTTTTACAATGATGTATTTTCATTTTTTTTTTTGTGTCTACCCACGATATCTTCTAAGCCACTGAACCGATTTCTTCGTTCCAAATTTATAGAAAATATTCTTTAAACATAGCACAACCGATAAATATTTAAACAAAAAAAAAAATACCTATAAAACCTTTCCCCTCGAAGAGATAGACATATTTTCTTTATTCCACTTTTTCAAGCAAAGTTATTGGGATTTAGGTCTGAAAATTAGACTGAATGTAGATCTAAAATGGCATTATAACATATACAATTTTTTTTTATTAAGGAAAACCCTCAAAAAAGGGGAAAATTACACTTTGACTGTAGTCAATTTCCAGGTTGCTATGTGTGAGTGAATCAACAGTGAACAAGTAAAGCAAATATTTTCATTTTATTGTTAATTACTATAAATGGGTAACTATGGCAATACATTTTTATAGATAGACGATCAACCATAATCGTGTCCACCTTAATACAAAATTTTAAACAATAATTATTGTCATTAGTTACAATGCTTTTATCTCGATAATTATATTTTTATCTGTGAGCACTGTATCTCTTTAATTACTGACTTACTACTACTACTACTACTACTACTCCACTTGTGTATAATATTTACTGGTTTATACTGTGCTTGGTTTGGACTGGCTCGTTTGAACCTACTCTCCACAGATTCGCATGGAAGCGTTAATTTAAAAGTGATTTTAATACTCAGTTAGAATAGTTCCTGTACACCTTTAACCTCTCCCCGTGCCCCTACCTCACTGTACTGGCTTTTTACAGTAGTAACTTTTTCTAGGATATATTTTAAAGAAAGAAAACATAATATATCAATGTTTCCAAAATGTTCTCTTCCGTTATCATTTGGAAGTGAATTTGCTCTAAGACCATCATATTGTGGTCCCAAGAAAAACGCATACCGAGCACGGAGAAGTAAGAAGTAAATACTTCTATAAAGTTGTGTGTACTTTAAGTTTTAGATTTAATTCTTATAAACTTTAGTCGCTGGCATGTTTTCGCAGCAGCTTTGATCGTAGCAACGTTTTACAAGGGACCATTATGTAAAGGGCGCCACCGGTGCGAACAGACCCACCGGCGTTGGGAGCGCTTACACTATTTACAGTGTAATCACCCAACGGACGAGGTTTCGAAATTCTGAGCGTCGTCGAGCGTCCGCCGGGCCTGTTGCTTTTCCGACGGTTGCTCGGAACATCGCGCATCGGATGCCGGGGTGTTGGGGGGAAACAAAAAAAAAACCAGCCGACATCAACAACAACAACATCAACTACTACTACAGCGGCGGCACGAAATGTGCGCTCGTGTGTGGGCCGGGACGGCCGGGCGAGGGTCGGGCGAACTGGTTGGCAACCGCGGACAACGGCGGACGGGGCGAGGGGAACGGCGGGCGCGATATTATTATTATTATTATACATGTATACAATACGCGACGGCCGCAGCCGCCGCCGCCGCTGCTGTTGTTGCCGTTGTGTACGACGCGTTTAGTGTCCAAGGGCAAGCGTCTCGTCTGATGCTCGGCCGCGCGGCTGCCTGGTGCGCGCACGCACGCACGCACCACAACGGCAGCGACGGCGGCGGCACGCACGCACCGCACAACATGGCGGCCGACCGACCGAAACGCCGCCGCCGCCGACACCTCCCCACCCCGCGCACCACCGCCAACCCGGTTGCGGGCAGCTGCCGCCGAACCGAACGCTACGTGACGCCGCGACGCGGCAGCCCTTCGTCTCGGCCGGCCCGGCCTCCGGAGTCCGGACACCAGTTGTCATCCATGCCGTCGCCAGCGAGCACGCCGAGCGCGCACCGTCGACGACAACAGCAGCATCAGCAGCGCGTGACGACCACACCGCCGGACACCACAACCAGCGGTACAGCCGACAACACCTCAGCAGCCAACGCAGCCGCATTGGCCGCAGCCATGGCCATCGCCAACGAAACCAACATCGATCTGATCATGATCAACAAGATCCGCCAGCATCAGGTGTTGTACGACACGGACGAGAACCAGTACAAGTACATCGACAAGAGGGACAAAGCGTGGAAGGAAGTGGCCGACGAACTCGGCATGCCGGGTAAGAACAACGGTACAATATTATAAACTTAGCCACGCGCCGCTAATTACTTGTAAATTGTATTAATCGAACAATAGATACCGCGCTAAAGACGATCGCATACCTATAATATAATATTTGCGAGCGCCGGAAATTCATATTATTATTATTTTTCAAATGCCGGTATCGTCACTTTGTCGGGCATAGGTAACGTACACGTTGTATGGACGTTGAAAAACATTGTTGCCGGGGTCGGTATCCGTGTCGGTGGGTGAGGGAGTGGAGGAACACATGTTGCAGGGGTTGTTTTGCTATAGACCGTGTGCCGTGGTCGTGCCCCCTCCACACCACTCTGGCCGCCGGCACCGTCGACGCAAGCATATAATATGTACTATATAATAATGGTGACGGCGCGGCAAAACGCGGACGGGATTTTTCGTGCGCGCTCCTTTGTTCGGATCGCGCGCCGTGACGGTGTAGGCGCCGCGAGGTGGGGAGTAGACTGCGGCGGCAACGAAGGGGAAAAAAATACCACGAACGAAACCGGATGGGCCGACCGGCGGTTTGATGACCGACGCCGCGCCGCCGCCGCAGCCGAGACGCACGTATTTAACGCCCGCACGACGACGACGGGGCCGTCGGGTGCACGGTTCGTCCGCACCAGTGTCGCCAATCTCACCGCTTGACCGTGCCATTATTGTCACCGGGTGCCGGGTGCCGCCTGCGCCCAAAAAAAGAGGGGCCCCCCTGGGGGGGGGGGGCGAGACGGGTTTACAGCTTTTTCAAAACCAAAATAACATCATACTTAAATTTTAAAAAAGCGTAAGACATACATATGCAACAATCGTTTGACCCGGCTTAAGTGTTCCATTAGAGAACCAGCATCAAGTCGTGCATATCCGTTTGCCTCCTTTGTCAGTGGGGGCGCTAGGCTTGGCCAAGTGCCCCACTCGAATTGGACCTAACCAGCCAAGTCGAGTTTAAGTAAAGTGCTGAGGAGGTTTAAGTATTCAGGATCAGTTATGCAAGAGATGTGGGGTAAAAAGTTTGGAATGATATGTGGCTAAGTAGAGAAAAATGCGGCTGGAAAATAGGCAAAAAGGGTAGTGGTGACAGAATAGTGTCATGGAACTAATGAACTATGGGTGGATAAGTGGATGAATGATATAAAAAGATAATGGTAAACGTATAAATAAAGATAATATAGGGATTTGTGGAGAGAGAAGATTTGGCTGGTCGACTCCGTTTGCATGGGATAGGATGCATTTTGTGTTCAGTTAAATGAAAAATTAACATAATAAAAAGGGTTTTTACTTAAAGCGATGGGTGTAGGCCGATATGTCTAAGAATAAAATCCCTAGAAAGCAGGCACACTCGGTGACTTGAACGACTCTCTCGGTTAGCCCTGACGGGAGACTTGAATACATGTTAAGAGGGCGCTGGCCATTTTATTATCTGTTTACAAAAATGGGTTAGAACAATGTGATTTCTTCTCTTATAATCGCAAACTTTCTTCCGAGTATGATAATTCTTAAAAACTAAAGAAAGTCGTGGACCCAAAGGGAGACGGAAAGGTTAGAAAAAATGGTTAACCACTCCCGGTTGTTTTTTTGAAAACCCATTTTAAGCAAGTGTAATGTTCTAATTAATATTGTCCAATAGAAAACAAATTTCGTTAATCATTTTTTTTTCTTTAAATTAAAAAAGGAAAATTACCTTAACCAAAATACAACTTGGTAAAATTTTAAAATTGATAAACACTTTAGAACTATTAAAATAAAAATGATGAAAAAAAAATGCTTTGAGAAAAATTACATAATACACTTAATTGTGTTGTGGTTTTCAAAAATGCATTCAAATTTTGGCTACCTAAATTAAAATATTAAACTAAAAAAAAAAAAACCCAAAAAACTCGAAATTATATTTTTTTATAATACCCAAAACGGCTTTTGATCTTAAACCTCAAAACAAGAATATATCAATTTTAGAGCCTCGAGTTTGTTAAACAAATAATCATAAAATCTGTCAGTAATTATATATGTTTATGGTTTTTTAATTATTGCCAAGGCTTCAACAATGGAGTCATTAGCCTGAACTACGGTTATTTCATTGTTCAAACACAATGTGAGAATTGTAAACAAATATGATCGATAGGGCAAAACGTGTAAATATTATTAGTGTTTGCTTTTTTAGGGTGTCGAATTATGAAGTATTATTATGTAGTATTATGAAGTTGTTTTTTTTTTTTAACTTTAACGCCTGATTTTGGGACAAAATTCTGATTGAAATTAAAAAAAACTCGTACATCAATATTTAACTTAAAATATATTATTAATTACAATCAAACATTTTCATGACTGGTGTAAATCTATATATTGATGTTCAATATTTGTGTTGTCAGACAAATACATTGTATACACAATGTCGAGATTCAACACATGACTGCAACTGATGATTGTGGTCTAATAACATCCAGACGGTTGTTAAATATATTTAAATGAGTATAAATAATTAGGGTAATCGTTCAGTCATATTCATAATTATTTATTTATTTTTTGTTAATTGCACAAAAGTTAGCGCATTTTGTTATTTTTTTTTTTTAAACAACATTTCTCAGCAGAGTTATTAATTTCTGAATTGCTGTATAAATGACCGGTTGATTTATTGTGTTTTTTTTTTTTTTAACAGTCAATGACGTGAAGCTTCGATGGAAACGTTTGCGCGACAATTTCCGAGTGTCCATCAAACGGACCAAAGGACTGAATCTCAAACCGGGTCTGCCGTTTGTCGAGGGCAAACCGTGGAAATATCAAAAAGAAATGGAATTTCTACTGCCCTTCATGCAAATCGGAGGGTGAGTTTATTGATGTAACACTTTAAGCACATGGGACTTGAGCGGTTGTCTTGAAAAAAAATAGTGAGGCCCGAGGTAGGGAGTAAAACATAAACTACCGATTGTTTATTACGGTAGTTAATCGACAACCGTCGATGTTAGCGTTAACGATAACCGATAACGTAGTTTTGTAGAAAAACTTACTTAATCTTTTACTAAACTCAAGACATTTTTTATTATTATTGTTTTTTTTAATCTAATTATTTGCAAAAGTACTAATCCGGGTATGTTGCGTGTCGACAGGTATTCATTGAAAAAAATGCTGAACCTGGAAAACCCTCAAGACTACCAGGGAAACTACGACGATTGCAAGACGGAGGGATCGTTCAGCCCGTACAACAACATGTCATACGAATACGACGAGATGCCCGAACCGCGGGTCGAAGTCAAAGAGATGCCGGGCAATTATTCCAACGACGAAGCCGGCGTGGACGACGAACTGCTCTACCCGGACGTGGAGATCCTGAGCAACGGCAAACACGAGCCGCTGCACAGAGTGGCCAAACGGGTGAAACGGTCGGCCGAAGCAGCCGCAGCCGCGGCGGCCAAGGAAGCCGATTCGTCTGCCCAACACAAGCTCAACCAACACCACATGAACCACTATTACCATATCCAGCATCAGCAACAGAGTCACACCAAAATACACCCAGTCGACCTGTTCTTCTACAGTATGGCCGAGACGACCAAAGCTCTACCTCAAGCGTTCCAGGCCGAGATCAAACGCAGGGTACTGGAAATCGTCATCAAGGCCGAAGAGGAAATGAACCAAAACGTTAATTACGATTGATGGACAGTCGTCTTTTAAAAGTGTTTCGACAAACACTCCTACCACCCAATCGTTCTCAATTTTGTATCAAAATCTTATTGCTGTGTTCAAACGATTATGTTAGGTATTTTATTTAATACAAATAGATAGATAAGTTTTCTTTACTACTTGTTTCGCTATGAGGTCGTGAATAATTTATTTCTTAAGGGAAAAAAAAACTACACTAGGTATTATGTTACATCACTTAAGTTATTGTATTCATTATATTTTTGACTCATTAAGTTTAAATGTTTAGTCGTTAAGCGAGTACCAATAATCAGGAAAAAGAGAGGATACTTTTACTATTTTTTTGTTGTAAAATAAAAACATTCCGAATTTGTTCGCCATCGTACAGGCTTTGTGATAAACGTGTTAATACTTACGGTACCTATGAATAAGAGTTTTGCATTCCATTGTGTGTATAATACATACAATTTATATATTAGATGTTAAGAGAACACTTAGCGCAAATACTTTATAGACGTTTTGGCAAAACGTTAACGTTGGCTCTACAAATTGCTCAATCGGACGTAGATTATTATTTTTTGTATTTTGTTACTACATTATGATTATTACTATTATTTTTCTCTAATATTATTATATAATATACTTTATTATTATTATTATTATCATAATATTATGTTATTCACACTTTATGTGTATGACTACGATATGTATATTGAATACTACTATGAAACAATATATTTTACCATGACAAATGTTGTTACGATCGACAAAATTTTGTAAATAAAATACTATATGATATTTTGTATAAGGTGTTTTATTATTATAAAAATAATATATATATAGCTTATGAAAATAATGTTTATTTGGTAGCTTATAATGAATTTCCAAGATGGGTAAAGTAATAATACCTGTTTTTGAAGATACAATCCGACCAATCGATTATTTGAACGGAACAAACCGATGGTATTCGACTCTAATAATTTCTCGGTATTTTTAAGTGTAAAATCATACTTTTTAAATATAAATACAAATTATTAAGACAATAAGTCAGTGTATATAGAAAAAAACAAACGAGTCACAGAAAAATGCAAAATAGTACTTTTAAAGTCAATTATTTGCAACTGTCAAACTGTTATCTGATCATAACACCTCAGTTATATTTGTGCACAAGACATTGTTTGTTTATAAACTCTTTGGAACACAATAGATATCGTTATCAACATTTTCTTATCACCAGACGGTAGACATCAGTTACTGGCAGATGCCTGTTTTGGTATTCACTATTTTTGGTGTAATGCTAAATGCAACTGTTTTTCGAATTATAAATGTTATTTTTTACTTTTTGTTTGACATAAACAAGTAGTTCAGCTTGTGATCTACTATGTTGACAGAACCTTATTAAAAATAAATTATCAGTTTGACGTTTGCAAATTTATGCCAGCGACGCAAGCGGTTTATCATGAAATGGTTTTGGAGGACTTTAAAACGATCCCAATTGGCCGTGGAAGACTTAACCGTGGACAAATATTGGGGAGCTGTCAACGTTTGGAACACAAAACCCCATTTGTTGATCAGACATTTGATGGGCGCCGAACGGTTGTTCCGGTGTTCGCTCAAAGCCGATTCGACCGACCTGCTGAGTTTAGTAACCGATCTACCCGTCGATTGGTATGAAGAGCCCGACAAGTTAAATCGTCTCGGTTTAAGCGGTGGCGACGATATCATCGTAGAAGTATGGAAACTCTTGACCAAAAAACCCGCCGACTGGAATGATTACCTACGACTGAGCATCCTCGGTAAGTCCTCGGCAATAATTTAATGTTCAATTAAATTATTATGTCATATTTTTAATTTTGTTCTAGACACTTCATCTTGTACAGCTGTGTTTTACGATTTTACGCCTAAAAGCGGCAACGTTCTAGAGCCGTATGTGTATAGTATCAGTTTCGTCGACGGACAGTTAGAACTAAAACTGGGCACACTTGAGAATAAACCGGAGATACATGAAAAATCAATGTTCTGGTTGACCGAACTATTCTTGCCCAAGTTTACGAATTGGGCTACCAACGATAAAGGGTCAAAGTCTACAATAGCGTCGTTGTCCCAAGTTTGCGTTAAGGAATACTGTCATTTGTACAACCGGCTAAAAGAAAAATACGCAAAAGCGTTGATGAAAGTAAGTGTTTAAAGTCAACAACAATTGGATTTCGAACGGAATTCACCGAAAATATTGTTTCGTTGTCGAAAATCAGGTTTGGACCGAAGTGACGGATCCAAAAAAGTACATACCCAAAGACATAGCCACGGCCACGTACCTGATATTGTTGTGGGACAAAACGAAGCCCACCTTTGTCGACATGGGTTGCGGTAACGGCCTGCTCGTACACATATTGAATAGCGAAGGATATCCCGGATTTGGTGTCGATCTCAGGTCTAGAAACATGTGGGCCCAATACCCAAAAACTACAGTTTTAAAAGTAAAAAATCGGATTTTTTATCAAACGTTTCACAAAATAAAAAGAAATTAACATTTTTTATCGTCCACAGGTTACTAGCGTGGACCCGTCATCGCCCGAATGCAAATTTCCTGAAGCCGATTGGATCATCGGTAACCACTCCGACGAGCTGTCCCCGTGGATTCCAGTCGTCGCTTCTCGTAGTAATTACAACTGCAAGTTCTTTTTGCTTCCGTGTTGCACTTTCGAATTGGACGGCTCACGTTATCAACGCCGAGACTCGTCGCTCAGTCAATACCACGATTACCTCAGATACTTGGAAACGACCAGCGCGGACGTGTATAAATTTAACGTGTCAGTCGATCGCTTGCGCATACCGTCCACCAAGCGTACGTGCTTGATCGGTCGTGCCAAGGACTACGAGGAATGGCAGTTTGAACAAGTCGTGGAGACGGTGGAAAATTTCGCTAAATCCAAGTTTGGTGACGACGTCAAGTTTGTGCCGAGACCCGCAGAGGAGAAGGTCAGGAATTGTACTAGGCTCGACCGAGACTTGGTCAGCAGCGTAGTCGACAGTGTCGTGGGCGTTTTGACGAGACACGAGAACAGCGGTTGGACGTGTCGAGTCGGCCTTGAAGAACTGGCCAAAGAGATAGGCGGAGAGAGACTGAAGAAGCTGAAAAATGAATGCGGTGGCTTACAGACGTTACTGAGGAATCACAGGTTTATATTTGTCGTCGAAAAAGGAAGTGTCGGATTTAGAAAACCGGTAAAGAACGTCGGCAAGGTATGGAAGAAACACAAATGTTGGTTCTACCACAATTTCCCAGCCAAGTGTCCGCTCGACGATTCCGAATGTTGCAACATACATTGATACGAAAAACGACAAACGCACGACTCGTCTTCCAACGTTGTAATTTGTATTTTCTATTGCAATACAGCTGTTTTTGTTTTTATTTGGTTTCTTTTGCATATTGAAAAATAAAATAACCGTTTATTTTTAATTTTTAAGACGAGTAGAAAATAATTCGTACAAAAATTTCAAACTAGATAAGTTTATTTTCGAATTAAATACGTTAACAATTGATTTCTAGTTAGCTTAAAAATATTTAAAAAAAAAAAAAAAAGAAAGAAAGAACGTATACACGCTTACATAAAAATGACTTAATAAGTAATACAAATTAGCACATTCTTCTAAAAACTACCAAGTCAACAAACGTTCAGATCTAATTATTGTCCTAAAACATTATAATATTAACGATAAACCTAAATATTGGATTACTTAAAATTAAAACATAGAAGAATACTTGCACATAGCTTATACACATTGCCTCGAAACTATAATAATTACTAATATCACACAATACTGATGTTTATATATTATAGTAGGCGTGAAATTTTTTGGCGTCGACTCCCATACGAGTGGAACGAGTGAATTAAAGACGTCGTAGAACGTGCAAGTCGTAAAAAGTTTTCTTAGGGTTACGTTAGACGATAGAGTTTCAATTTAATCGTTTTCTAAAGTAAAGTAAAACTACACATTGTAGCTAAAAAAGGGTTTTGAAGAACATTTTTTTTGGTAAACAAAAAAAGAAGAATTTTCCGTAACGATTATCATCGCACAAACGCTCCTGTATAAGTAATACATCGAAATAACATTTAATTATTATTGTAAAAAGAAAAAATACTTATGAGTGTATAGCTATGGCCGAAACCGGCCGAGACAACACGGTAATATCTCTGTACTGAGTGAATACGCAGATCTGAAAAAAAATTAAAAACATTGTAATGAATTGTTTTTGTTAAAATTATTTATGAAATTAACGCCGAAGAATCACCTTGTCTTTGAGTTGCTGGGCCAGCTGCAAAGCGACCGTAAACAGGACTAGGACTTCGTTCAACCACGGCACCGTGCACTCGGCCTGATAGGTGTCGTACTTCATCGAGCCGTGCGAACTCGACAACTGGTAAACGGCGAATATCAACTTGTGACTCTGTATGTAAAAACTGATTGCCAAATCTTCGGGCAGGATGGGCGTCAAACACTTCTGAAACAAACGTAACCAATGGCTTAGCAATTTCACAGTGTTCACGGACGGGCTCAACGTCGCCGCCGTGCCACAGACATGACACAGCGACGTCGTTGCACTTTCAGCGGCTCATTTACCATGTTTCTGCTTTTTATCAAATCATCGATCGTCCGTTTGCGCGGCACTATCAGACTGGTGCGTCCCCTTTGCAGACATCCCAACAATTTGCGCAAAATGTGCAACACTTCTTCAGAGGAACTGGAAAATTTCAACGATCGGCATTTAACAACGTTTGATAAAGAAAAACCAGTCTCAATATGTAATTTATCTATATACTTGAAAATAGTTTCCTTGTCTATTTTTTCAATGTGCAAAATGGCTTGTCTCAAATGGTTGCCGGCGTCTTGCACTTGGTGCAGTTTCCAAGGGCAGTCGTGACGTATGTTCGTACGGTACATAATCTGTTGTTGATGTCGTTGTACTTTAAATTGTATGTCCTGCGTTAAAAAAAAAAAAAACGAGAGAAATTTTAGCGTAAAAATACATATTTCACAATTGTTTGGAGAGTTAATAAATTAAGAACAATGATTTGCAGTTTTATTCCTTAGTTTTGTACTTAATATTTTTTCCCGATTTGTTAAGATCAAATAATAAAAGAAAAATGAAAATCTTAAAAGTACAATAACAGCTGCTAACAAATAAACTCGTCGAGTAAGTCGGCCAACTGTAAGACGTTTGTTACGGCTAGACAGGACGATTAATGTACGAAAAAGGCGTAATTACCGCTTGTAGTATGGTGTCGCCCGAAATGGAGACGATACTTTTCAGCTGATCGGGCGATGTGGACAGGACAAATTTCTCCTGCTTAATCGGCACTTCGCTGTCCCACGACGGAAAACGTCGGACGCATTCCTAAAACATAAAACAGACGTGTGTGTGATGCACGCTTTAACTAGGTCGACTAGAGCTTACGTGGAGTATGATGTTGAGCTGATGCAAAATGGAGTGGACCTCTTCGTTCAACACCCATTCGAATTCTTTTTGCTAGAAAAGATAAAAAAAATAAAGAGTTTTTTTTTTGTTTGAAAATCAAATTAACATATTGTGGTGTTAAGCGTTTTTAAGTTTTTTGGGTGTCTGTACTTACCAGGCTCTGATGTTCGAGTTTTTCGCTGTCGGCCATTTCGGCTGTCGTTGACGTCGACGTCGACGAAGTGGTTAACATTTGGCTTTCAGACGGTCGACGAAGACTTACCGTCCACCATGGCCGTCTATGGCCGTTGCGTTCCGTTTACCGCGTTCAACAAAATATCATATGCCCGACGGCGACTCGGCAAATGGTATTTGTTATCAATCAACGCTGTGGTTTCTCGCTACGACACACACACAACAGCCTTAACATTCCATCGTCGCGCCGTGATAGTGCCGCCACTGGCAGTTGTACATACCGCGGGACGTGTGTCGGGACGGTACGGGTTAATTTATTGTTTCGTTATCGAAAGCTGTGCTGCAGTTGTACAACTCTGATTTTTGGTGACCGAAAGTGGAGTTACGAGGAGGAGGAGGAGGAGAAGGCCAACCGCCGCCGCAGTGATAACGAGTATCGCCTGCGCGCTCAGTGTGACCGCCGCTTTGGCTTTTCGACCGCCAAATTTAAAAAAAACAAACTACTTTTTACTTACCAAAACACACTAATAGGCGCAATTTGAATACAAAAAGCAAAATTTAGGTGAGCTTAAGCTCTACATTTTCCAGGTATTTAAATATCTATGTTAATATATTACACTACAATTAACAAGTATTTTAAACAAGAATTGTTTTTTGTTCTGCAAACGTGTCTCCAACTTAATTGTTTATGTTTTTACAAATTTGTCATATAATTTTTTAATGTTTTATAATATTGACAAATCTGTAAGTGAACCATGCAAAAATCTTTGGTTATATTTTTATATTTGAACATTTTCATAAGCAGAGATTCTAATACATAAATCCGAAAAACATTAAAGGATGCTTATTTCGAAATGGGGGGTGCTCATTCCCTCCTAAGCCCTCCCTAATTAATAATAATTTATTTAAAAACAATTATTTTTAAATATACTTGTTATATTTTACTATTATTTAAAGCTTGGGCATTCGTTACTATTATTTTCTCACATAGTCGAGTCAAAATGAATTTAGTTTACCGAATTGGGTCAACTGTAAAAGTATGTTCAATTCGTCTCACTTATCACAACCAAATTGTGTTTTAGTTACAACAGTGTTATTTTCCGTGCGCTAATTCATATTCAAAGGGCACCGCCAAAAAATAACGAATAAATTGAATTTAAATAATTGGTTTAAACTTTAACAACGGCGCAAACCTAACCCGTTTGGTGTTTTTTTTTGGGTTTTTTTACCTAATCTGACATATACTTGTGTATGAAATTTGTATGGTCGAATAAAGTCATGACAAAGTGTATTTTCAAAACAGGCAAAACGTAATTAAGACTTCCAGGTTTTTTCTTATCGAATTCCAAATGGGTATGGTGATGAACAAAGAATCTAAGGGGGCGTTTCTTAATTAATACATCACTTTTTTTTGCCCTTCAGACGGTAACAATAGTACCAACCTAGCGTTTATGCATGAACTTACATGGCTTCTCTTGAAAACAGAAGTTAAATAAACTGAACTGGAACACGGCCCGTCTATATTATGTTTTCTAGAGATATAAAAATACAATTAATTTTTAACATGCAACATATACTATTAATTACTCTAGGCTGTCTTTTGATTATTGGTTTCTGGCTTTTGGGAAAAACCCCACTAATAATAGTGATAACAACGTAGAAATGTCCGAAGATGGAAATACCCAAAAACAACGGTTTTTTGTTTTCGCTTTATGGTGCACCCGGTATACCTGTATATATGTCACAGTGTTTATGAACAACAATGCAAGGAATTCAAAGTTTTCATCATTGTGCGACGACAACACAGGGACCACAATCCCTGTTGGGTCGAGCGAAAACTAGAACAAAAAGTTGATGTGTTTTCCTTTGTCAGTCGTCTGATTCGTGACTAGGTCGACAGACATTTTCGTAGAATATCGTTTTCAATTTTATGTTTATTTTTAAAGACTAAAAAATGTTTATGTTGTTACACAATTTTCTAAAAAATAAGTATAGGTCGACTCGTAGGGTAATTTACTTCCTCGGCCAATATTGTAATACTGCGAACGGTCATTATTATTTTTTAAGCACAAGGATCGCGTGGTCATGTTGTGTTCACCGGTAACCCATAAGAATAATAGTAATAGTAGCAATAATAATAATAATAATAATAATAATAATAATAATAATAATAATACTATAGCTATTACGGATTGTACAACATTTCACGAAACCGGAACGAACGAGTTCAAAGGCCTTTTTCGCGTGCGCCTCTTATTATTATTTTTTCTTCACTTTTCCCGTTGGGTTATTCGTATACTTGATATGAAATCCAACATAGGTATTGTTTTTTTGTAAGCAGCCACAGATATTTATATATATATATATATTTATACATAATTAACTAGGTTATAAGATTTGGCTACAATGCACTATTATTTCTTATCAATCATCATTCTTATCACTGTATAGCTCTTATCAAACAATTTTTCCGTATCGCCTGATTTTAACGCTGAACAGGTTATTTGGAAGGGAGTCAACTGGTAAAAAGTGCACGATCGAAAATGAGTCGTAAGGAGAGAACGGGAAAAGGATTAGGGAGATGATTTGGTGTGGATATGGATGGGCAAATGATTATAGGGGTGAGGATGCAATGGTTGGAAAAGAAAATCGATCATCCCTGGATAACTGATAAGAGAAAATCAATAATCCCCACGGATAAATATAATAAACTAGTGATAAGCATGGAAGTCGAACGAATACATTTTTGTGATTTATTTGTGTATAAAATAATATGTATAAATATTTATTTATGATTCTACGTTATCGACTTAACTTATAATAATTGTTATAAACACATTTTCATGTGATATATTTCTCAATCCCACCAAAGATGGCGGAAAACGGTAACTTCAATTATCTCTATTGACGACATGTCTATTGTCTACTCTTGGCAATCTAGTTTATTATGTATTTAAGCAGCTTACTATGGCCAATGCGCGTTCCAATATTATATTTTGAGTTCAGCGGTACGGTCACACTGCAGCTCCTCTCTTCACATACTTCATACAAATTCACTAATTGCGACACCCTGGGTTAAACCCACTGATTGGTTTTTCCGTTTAAGTAAATTCCCAAACTTTCCCGGCGATAATAATATTAGATATTCTATCAAAATCATAATGTAATTTTTAAGGGCGTTGAGTTTTTATTGCTCGCTGTAAAATTATTGCGATGCAATCATCATTCCTAACAGCACTCTTGTGATCAAAACATCCTGGTAATGCGATTAAGTCGGATGTGAAAAATCAATAACTCACAACGGCAACGGCAAAATAGAATCAAACGTTGTAAACGTCGAGGGAAAAATGTATAATATAATTTCAATCAAGTCTCGTTACTATGGAAACTAATCATTTCATATATATATATTATATTTTGCACCAAAATCAAATTAATACCAATAGTCGGTATTAAATTAAATTGTTAGTTGTAGGAATTCATTAGCGTTTATTGGTATTTTTATTTTATACACAGGGCTGTAGATTTTCAAATATAATTGATTCGGCCAACAAAGAAAGGGAATAAGTTATCAATTTTCTACACCAAAATGAACAAGTCAACGCTCTAAAGTCTATTTTAAAATGTGCTTTCGAAAACCTCGTTTATTGACGAACGGGGAAAAGTAGGTGATTTCAGAAGAGAATTTAGTTTTGAAAAAGAATGCTTATAATTTGTATTTTAAATTAGTTTTTTTGTTCAAGGGTGTATTATTTGGCAAATAACCCTTTGAAATAACATTTGATTCGTCAAAAGGCTTTTAATTTTTATCTCTTTAAGTTCGCCAACTGTGAGTATCTACTTAAAAAAGTTTTAAAAAAAGTAACCGAAAGTGTTTCCAATGCAAAAAGAAAGAGTCAGCAAATAACAGTTTTTTGTGTTTTTCCAATTTGTGTTTTTTTCTCCCTTTTTTGAATAAACGGTTTAATTATCACCCTTGATACATGATAACTTAATCACACTTGAAAGAGAAACCAAATAAAAATACAATATTCGTTGAAAAATAATTAACCGCGTTTAGATATTTTTATTTTATTAATTATTATTTATTACACTACAAGTGTAATATATTATTTTATTGTTTACCTAATTATAACGAGTTTTCGTCCGGAGAAATTATCAAAAAATGGAACAAACAAAATGTGTTATTCCAATGTGGTGTTAACTTCAGATTTTGCAATTTTCTTCTCCTGTTACAACTGCAATGATACAACGCAAATTAATTTAGTAGTTATTTTTCGTTTTAACTATAAAGAATTCAGTTAAGAAGGGCACGCTAAGAAGACATTATGAGAAAATAATTGCACGAACAATTAAAGAGACACGATGAAACAAAAGACGGGACGGAGGATTTGATCAAATCTCAAGTGCTAAATGTATCATTCGTCTTGGTAGGAAAGATTAAAATTGATGAAGCCGACGACACTTGCTTATACCGTTTTGTGACAAGAAAGAGAGGACCGTGTTTCTGTTGTCATGCTTTGGAAATAGACACAAATAGAGGACATGACAAAAAAAAGTATATTATTAAGGACGAGAGTTAAGAGAAAAGGAAGTGTTAGTGATAAATAAAAACAGCAGATAATCTCCTAGAACCCAATAATTTAATAATTTCTCAGTTTAATCTAATCAGTGTACTTCTTGGTACTTCTGATGCGGAGCTAAGAAGTAGAATTGTTTTTACAGTTCTATCGAAGCGTTTTAATTGAAAGTGTTTCAGTTCCTTTGACTGATTTATGACTTCACCATCATGTACCGTCCCCACTGTGCTGGCTTTTGTTTATTTGTACTCCCCAGCAGGAAAACATAACAAACCGTAGTATAATGGAAATATTCCTAAAAAGTCAACAACAGGTTAAACCTCTACAAGTGCATAAAACGCCAAACCCGGGCACTTTAAAGGGGAAACAGTTTACACCCTGGACCAATTTAAAATAGGGAAGGGAGCAAAAAAATAATACCCCTTGGAAACGAGCTAAATTGGCAAACGGACCACGACGGTACGGTCCGAAGGGTTGCAAACGATTTTTTTTTTGCTGGTTATGCTCCCCTTATATATTATATATTCACTTAACACGGTAGCAGCGTTTGGTCTTTTCCACGGTGGAAATTCTGTGCAAAAAATCACACTAACTGGAGTTATTTCCAACTAATGAAAAATGTTGTATTTTATATTATGTTGCCCTACATCGAAACCAGGTAGCTAACTTGCTGATAACAATATTGTTTGTATAAAGTATTCGATGCATTTTTTACGCACCTAGTCACGTGGTTAACTCAATCAATATCCATCGACGTTTATTAAAAAAAATGAAATATAATAAAATAAAAATACCGTTAACGACACCGTTCGAGCATAACTTATTGGTGTGTATATATAATATATATATATATATATATACATTTTATTTTTTTATTAACGACCCTCTTCTTTTATTCATCGATTTCAAACGATTCGCCCCGTGTACGACCGTGCGGTGTTTGGTACGTGACGCGGATGATGTGGAAAAGGTCGACAAAGTCAGTGGAAAACGGTTTTTTTTTCACAAGTAAGCTCAAATTTTTTATTACAACTAAAAAAATGGATGTATCGTATACAATATGTACAATATATACAGAGGATGTTACAAAAGAACTGCGAGTAGTGCTTAGCGTTGCTTGGTATTTCCAAACTGCACCACAATCTATCACATGGCAAATAAGTAAGGATGTAGTTTAATTGATTAGCCTACGATAGGGCTTAATTGGTATGGAATTTGCAGAGTAATTATTTTTGTGTACTAGAAGTTTCTTCAGATTTCAGGATTTCAATGAGCTTACAATTTCCCATGTGCTAAACCAAACTCTCGTTTGGGTGACCTTCTTCGAAAACTCTGGATCGTCATTCATTGTTTCCAACTATTTGTTGCTGATCTCCACGCGATGATTCATTAGTTGAATCCCAGCAGAGCTGACGTGCCAAAGGATAGAACAGGTAGATGAATCATCGCAAGGATCCAAATTGTTTGAAGAAGGTCATTGCGAGTTGGTTTCGGCATTTTGACAAGCTAGAAATCTGTAAACTATCTGATAGCCTGAAATCTAGAGTCTATCTATGAACAATTCATGAGTTCCTACGTGAAAACCCCAAACAGAACAGTGGAAAATCGCAATGAATGGCTGTAAAGTTGGGATTGGCATATTTTGACTCTCTGCTGAAGCAGGACACGAAGACATCCCACGTATCAGATAAGTTTGGAGAACACGTGAAAGTGATGGGGCGTCAACAGGGGTAGTCCGTCAGGGCTAGCGGTCAGGGTGGAGTAAAACTTCACTGTACTTCGGTCTTTGGGAAGCACCGAAAGCCGAGTGCAGTCCACTAGCACACTGCCGAGACTGGGTTGGGCGAAACCGCGTAGAAAGCACCGTCTGTCCGAATCGTACTCGACAGTGCCCACCGTATAAGTGCTGGCGTTGACTGGAGGCGATGACGCAAATTCCCGTGACAACAGCTCTTCCACAGTCCGGGACACGTACTGTTCCGCCGACCCATAGTACTTCCCGTCGACATATGCTGACTTGACGGACATGAGGCCGACTTGAATTTGTCTGGACATATCCACCGGGTCTCGTCTGCTCGGTGCTGCCACTAGTCCTTCCGGTTTCGTGTCAACAGTATCATCGGTGGGTTCGACGCGTTCTTCCAGGCACGCCCGGACGTTGAGCTGAACGGAAGCCGTCTTGACGCGGTCTTCCCGTCGTTCTTGGTCGGCCAACTTAGGATCGGCCAGTGGCCTTATCTCCTCTTCCAGAGCGCGAAGCACGTTTTCGGTTACCGGCCAGCTTTCATCTGCTTCTTGATGGTCCGTCATCGTTATCACGTTGAATCCCTGCAATATGAAAAACAAAATAAAATTTGATCAGTTCAGTTAGACATTTTGAGATAGTCTCTAAACCAAAAAAATTTTTCAATTCAAGCATACTGCTAAACTCGGAATACGTTAAACAGTTTTCATTCATCCATGTTTAGGTCAAGTAGAGATAGGAAAGGGCAGGTCAGGACAAAATGGGATTGAATAGGTTCCCATAACGTCACCGTAAAACTTTTACTGATTTACACACTCCCAAATAACTTGTTACGGGATCAAATAAAATGAGAATAGATAAAGTAGTAAGAGGAATCAGTTATCAGTTGAAGAGCCTAAAAATGGAAGGGTACCTGTTAAATGTACCCATTAGCTTCGGATACCTGGCACCACAATTATGGACTAAAGAAAATATACAACGAAGACATGAGAATATGAGAATGATGAGAAATTAACCATGGTATTTTAAATATAAAAAAAGTATAATACATTTTCCTAAGAGTTGTACATTATTAGTATATCCAAATAGCAAGAAAGCTAATTAATAGTATAACAAATCTTCGAACAGTTAGCTGTAAAGGAATATGAAACAGTCAATATACAACCGTTTGTTAAAATTGAAGATCTAATCTTTTAGGACGAACACTCGATGGGTTTGAAGCTTCTCGAAAGAAGAAAATCGCACAAGAGGTTCATTAGAACGACGGGAGACATGTCACGGATCTAATGTGATCTAACAGTACGGTTTGTTAGCGATAAGGCGCATCCGATAAAGGTAAATTCTTGTCAAGTTTGACGTATGCGATTACGGTATCTAACTCGTTACTCCAAGCAAGTCTGGAATGCTTATTTCCTGGGGATTACATTTGAAAACCGTGTCCTTCAAATAAAAAAAAAAAATCTGTCTCGTTTAAACGACAGTGTTCTGATGCAATTCCAAACGGCTTTAATGAGTTAGCAGCTTCAGTAGTTATTTTCAGACGCAGTTTGTAAAATGTCAAATGATATAAAATATTTCCCAATACAACAATAACAGGTGTTGGCACGCGGATGTAATTTAATTTTATATACAATAATCCCCGAAACTTTAATTATTATTAATACAGCCGTTGTAAAAAAAAGTGTAAAAGTGTTTGTTCGATGTAGTCACCATCAAAAGATCGGTTCGTCGATTCTGCTTCGGTTGACATAAATATTTAATTAAAAATGAGAGTAGGGTTAAATTTAACAATTAAACGCAACGACCAGACGGTAAGTTATTTATTTTTTATTTTAATTGTCCGGATGATTGTAATAAAAACCTTTACATCCTATATTATTTTAAAAAGATAGAGGGCGTTTTTGCTTTGTGATACATCTGTAAAGTATAATTAGATTTGTTGCCAAATAAAAAATAGATAATAATGGTATTGCATGAATATTATTCTAGAAAAAAAACTATATTGATAAAATCGGACTTGTCTGGTCGTTACACTTTGTCTAACTTTTTCTCAGCAAACAAACCTTAAGATTTCCGAACATTCCTTAGGTTATCAATGGAGTTAGCTAAATAACTCATTTTAATTGTTATGTAATAATTACTTTGTAAAGCTACACCTTCGCCGTTCCGTTTTCTGTATTTTGTTAATTAGAGTGTAAATAGATTAATTATGCAAAATGTGCAAAACAATATTATACATAATGTAGGCGAGTGACATTGGAAATTGATTGTCACAGGGGAAGAAGGGTAGTAGTCCATGTATGAAAATTTTAGAGTATAGTAAAAATACACTTCGTGAATTCCTCTCCCTCTTACATAAGAACAAAAAAAAATCACATTTTGTGCGATTCTACTAAAAAATGTGAATATTTAAAAAATCTATTGACATAAATAAAAAAAACAAATGGCATATATTGAAAAAAAACTATTCGAAAATTTTTTTTTTCATAAATGGACTACTACCCTTCTTCCCCTGTGCCCTTCAATTATTTTAACCTAAAAAGTGTTGACCCCTACATCGGATCAATAGTCGTTAAAACTTTTATCGCCAACAATGCCATTTATCATATCGAAAATTATTACTTAATAAAAATAACTTCACTCGATTTTATACAAACTAAAACAACTTTTAAAAAAAACTCAACCAAATAAAATTATAGGAGTATAATACATAACTGAGCTGCAGTGTAAAACCAAGTGAAAATATTGATTTTTCAATGACGTGGTCGAAGGGGGGGGGGTTGTAGGATAAGAAATTATATTATACCTACCGAGGGCACTTAAAGCGACCAAAAGTCGAGTAAGTTTGTCCTTCCCTAACGAAATTGAGTAAAACCAAACACTGCCCGGCAACCAAACACAAACCAACGTCACTTGCTAGTCTGTTTATATAAAAAAAAATATTTAAAAACAATAGAGTGTTTGCATAAACACAGTTTACATAACTCTCATAGGCAAATAAGGGGTTTTGTGTTGTTTTTTCAAGGGAGCAGCATCTGCTCCAGTAAATATTGAGCATTTTCAATGTAGATGCGTTTTACTTTCAACAGTTTTACTATTTGTGAGAGCTATAATACTGCTAAACTATAATACCACGGCGGTGGTAGTGTGTAAAATTCAATCGAGTATTTCTCGTTTCACGTTTAACGACTTTCGATAACAAAAAAGTAATGCCATCGCCATTGCTATTTTAATTTCGGGTAAAAATAGAAAAGCGACCACGTCCTACAGTGTTTGTGCGAACAGCCAACGGACTATCCCACTGGGCTGTATGGTAATTCGTACACCGGCTTATGTAATATTTGCCGCATTTTTATTGCGTGTGTTCAATATGTGAGTCGACAGCGGATTAAGCAACTGCAATGCAAACTACGTGACGTGTAATCGACGCGTTCAGAATACTAAATAAGAAGCATGGCTTCAAAAGACCGGAAGAAATTTGCTCATCTTCAAAGGGAAACCATGACTATGGTTTTATAGCGCCCACCCCCACAGTGTTTCACACGATTCGACTGATAGTCAATAATACGGATGAGCGATAACAGATAAGGAGAAGTGACAAAGATGGTCGATAGATAACAGATAAGAAGTGATAACAGATGAGGAAGTGTTTTCTGACCTAAATTGACCTAATATAGAGATAAGGGAGTGTGAAAACTAGCGATACATCATAAACAGGGTGTAATAACAAATAAAAATGTGCTTAAGCTAAAGATCAGCTCGGAATCAATAGCTTTTTGGTATAAGGGACTGCACAATGATATACCATACGGCACAACGGAGGAGATTATGAATGATTTGGCCAAAAAGGAAATCACTGTGCCCCATATTACTAACATATTATTATCCAGTTATTGGACTGGATAAGAGAAATTCTATGTGTTTACGTTTATCCCGTTTAGCGCTAATGAATTTTTAACAAAATCCGTGTCAATAACAATTATTGGTGGCTTGAGATTGTATCGGAAATGTTGTACTGGTTAAAAACACAATAGGACGACTTAACGCGCGATTATTCGTCAGCCTACAGTACTCGGTGTTGTACTACAGTGTTTATAATAATAATAATAATATTATCTTAAATTATGTATTATGTACACGTCCCGACTATATATTATCTGATGTATACATAATAATACACTCTCTTTAGAAGTCCTCCCACCGGATGATAGATGGGTTTCAAGTGTTTTTTTTAAACCATAAGGGCCAATTTTGGGTGGACATAATTCAATTTTGCGCTAATTTTCAATAAAAATGCAAAGAAAAACAAATCACAACTTATCTTATATCGCCTGAACACCATAAATATGAAGAAATCCCTTTTTTTCTCTCACAATATATGCATAGGAAAAAAATTCGGATTCAAAACGATTGCATTATTTCAGCGAATTGTGATCGCATATTTTAAGATGATGATTTCTAATATAATTCTAAGCACAAAGTCACTTGCAAGGAGGTAAAGATCTTTGGCAAGCTACTACTTATAAGATCTCACTGACGCGGTTTTTTTAAATACATCTGCACACACTTGTTGGGATTATATCACCGTGGACTCCGAAACCTTGAATCCCCTTAAACATCCCTTTTTAACCCTGGCCCGATAACACGGATGAAATTAATTTCATGTTTTGCCAGGCACGCGCCATCGCACTAACACAAATAATATAATAAAACGCCGTTGTTGGAATGATTCGGATTGATCCGAGCACGAGGGTGGATATTATTATATTAAGCTCCGAAATATATAATATAAAATACAATAAACGCCGGGGAAGCAATTTTTTATTGACAATACACGGAAAGGGCGGGTTGGCGGCTGAGGGGTGTCGTGGCAAAAAGCCACGATAAACGTGATTCAAATATATTGGAACACTTCAAAATTCGATTCGCTCTTCGCGCACAAAGATTTTTCACAGCCCTCCTCCTTTAATGCGTGTACCGGTTATGGTACGTTTTAAGAATCGCACGAATAGACCTATCCTAGAAGAGGCATGTAGAGCTATAAAAAAACGCTTCTGTGTCTGGACTTTTGTTTGAAATTTAGCTTTTTGAGTAGGTACTTACATACATTATATGATGTTGTTGTAAGGCAAATTTTTCTTTCAACGTAAAAAGAAATGAATAAAAAGATTTAGAAGAGTAAAATATACATATTATTGCACCCTCGCGAAACTTGCAATGGCGGTAATGTTTATTTAACTTTTTATTTGACATACATGATTTATGGCTGAGGGTAGGTTCAAAATTTCAGTAACACTTTTCAGTAAGATCAAAATCTGTCCCGTTAAAATACTGTTTTGTGCTTTTATCGATTTGTTTACTCGGTCCTCGACAAATAGAAACATTTGAACCGTCTGAGCTGTTCAGTTCAGATTAGGAGTGGGTGTACGCTAAAGAAAATATTAATAACTCAAAACAGTCTCATTGAAAGGGTAAAAATTGTTTTTATACTTTTTTTTAAGTATATATTGCATCTGTCTATTTATCTAAAATATATAAAATCATCTAAATCACGAATTCGACGCATTTCCCCTTCAAAATCGAGAAATTATTTTAATTTTTTTTTTATTAAAACCCTTGTTATGGTAAACGCGGTGGTCGTGCCGGATTAATAACATTAAAATAAAACGTTGTTGGAAATCAATGTTTTACACAACTGACTGGCCCCACTGCCGACGTGGGTTGTGTGCAAAGGCCAAGAGAAACGACGGTCAACCCTGGTGTGTATAGGTATAGGTTTGGTATGTATGTTTGTGTGTGTTATTTTCCAAAACCGTCTCGTCCTTCACGCGCTTTCTTGTTAATAGAGAAAATAAGCGACCCAGCCTATAGCTATACAGAATATATATATATATATATATATATGTAATTATATATATTACACGAAGGGTAAAGGACCTCGACGACGCAATAAAGTCTGGTGCGTGCGAGATCGATAATAATTCGCAGGGGGTGAGAGCACAACCAACCCCTAAAATGTATAACCTACCTACACCGAGTTAAAGTGATCATAATGTGTTGTGTGCGGATAGACGACGAGTAAGTATGCCTATACGTACACAAGGTGATCAACAGTGTGGTCCATGATCACACAAAATTTGAAGATAAACATTTTTTAAAAAAATGTCAGCGTTTGGATTTTTCGTTCGTTTGCAATGACTTTGTAAAGGTTCGAATACAATATTTATTGGGTTTTTACAACAGTAGCGCAGCAATTTCTTCCCATTAAATAATAATATTGACTCCCGGCCAACCGTCGACACTGTCATCGTCACTGCGTTTGAATAGGTAGACAACAACCGCTTGTCTATCATCATTAGTGTCTTGTCATCGGCGTTCTTGTCCATTTAACAATGCAAACTTAAATATGAATTTAATTTTTATCGTTAATATGTAGCTATTAACACTTAGACACATTTTCAAATAGATATTCGTTTATGGAGATTTTTTTTTTATTTTAAACAAAAAAAATCTATTTCAATTGTCACTATAAGTAAGCTTAATAGTGTCTTTTATGCGAGGGGTTGGGGCACCGACAAAGTTTGTGCTCGGTTATTTGAAAACGTTGAAATATAAAATATTATATTTTCGCCTTTAAAACGTACACTTCTGACAAATCATGGCGTTTCGAGCCGATAAAAATTATTATATAATATAATAATGTCCGCCGAATTCCGTCCGGTCTTCGGACTTGCGCGCAGTGCGCTGAACATAATATAATTTATTTTACAAAGAAAAAATAATAATAATAAAAAATCGGCCGAAGCAATATCGACAAGGAGAATTACTTATACGCCCGACCTCGAGGGAAGCGACTATATATAGGATAAGTATATTATGTCAGCAGTCTGCACATACATACTTACTTCCCTGCCACGGATGGTTCACCTCCCGCTCAACCGTCATCCAAGAAAAAATATAGCAGTGTTCCGTCTTGAACCATTAAAAACGAATCGATCTGATGTACATTCGCCACAGCTTGCCGTTGATAAATATCACCGGTAACCTACTTCTATAATTGTCAAAACGAAAATATTATATAATATAAATCATTGACTTGAATCACAAAAAAAAACGCACTTGCTAAACGACCAGCGATTGTTTGGCACACTGTCTAAGGGAAAAATTATTATTCCATACTATTTTTACTTGAGATTGATGGCTATGAGTTTTTATATAAATTGAAAAATTATAATATAACAATATTCCAGTTTTATATTATGTCAACCCTGGACAACTGATAAGATATTAATGGTAAGAAGAAATCAATAATCCGCACAGATAAATATAATCAACTAGATTGCTAACTAGTGATAAAAATGGAAGTCGAATGGAACCATTTTTTTAGTATTTATATGTGTATGAAATAATATATAAATATATCTGTGATTCTGTGCTATTGGCTTAACTTAAAATTGTTGTAAGCATTGATAATAGTTGTAAACATGAGATAACGTTCTAAATTCCGCAAAGATGGCGGAAAATGGTAACTTCAATTATATCTACTGTTGGCATAAACACTTGAGCAATCTAGTTTATTATATATTTACCTGTGATAATTTCCAAATAACCGATTATCAGCTGATTACCTATTCCAGGCACTCCGAGTCTAGCAGCACGCTAAATCTGAAGGGACTTTTTACTTATTTTGATAGGAATAACACGTTGAATATGTTTAAGAAAATCGACGTTTCGCGGCTGGCTGATCCCATTTGAGTTTGAGATTTGTTCGAGCTTTTGTGGAATTGGTTGATTAAACGTTATTTCGATCTAGCAGGGATACCGTGGCCCAAGTTCCTTTTTTATGGACGAGCGACCGTCTGGATAAAACTGAACCACATTCCCTTTAAACCTAATGGGCCCCAACTGTCAAATTTGTTTAGTCAGCGTTTAGTCGACAATCGGCTTTGAACCCACTACGTCAAAACGAAATCCCCGTCTCGACGTTAAACGCCAAAAAAAGATTGTACGGCCGTGTATTTTATTGCCTTTATGATGAGCATTATGATATATATGTACAGTTGACAGCCGTTCTTTCTCTCTTCTCTCTCCACAGTTACATGTGTGCTCGAGTCTAGTGTATGAGAACATCTAACGTTGTTGTACAACCCGCCATTTCAAGACGCGTTTAAAAGACCGGAAATGAAACGCCATACTTTAAGCCTTAAGGATTTGCGACAACACGACCCCGGACGAGATAGAATAACGATATAAATCTTCCAGACGTTTTGTGAAAAGGCCAACATAGTTTCCATCAAACATATGACACTACATATGTATGTATTGTGTCGCTTTAATATTAAACAAAGCATATCACATCATATTATATGAAACTTTAATCTGATTTTAGTTCAAATCCCAGACTAAGTAGGTTCGTTAGGTTAAGTTACATTATCAGCAATTACACAACAAATCACGGTAACATTTAATTAATCTGAAATATTCGATGACATTTTCGTGCCTAAATAACATTAATATGTTAGTATTTTAAGACTGATCAAACACAGTTAATAGACGTTGAAACATTATTAATTACTCAAAATTGAAAGAAATAAAAGAAAGGTATTATAATTATATGATTTATCCCCAAGTTCAAAAAGTTAAATAAACCAAATCCAGCACAATACCTTCGGCAGCCGAGATCTTTTTTATTAATAAAAAAAAAGTGAGAAGATTTTTTTATTAGATCTCATTGCTATGAAATCAAAAGGAAATAATGGGAAACTAGCTGATAAAAATTACGATAGTGATAGATAAAGAAGGACCATCTGATAAGAGATAAGAAAATGATAGGAACGGTGTTTGATATGGATAGATAAGGAGAAATGAGCTGATAAAAGAAATGATGTGTTACTCAATTTGTTTATAGGATTTGTGTGTTGTATCATGCCTAAAATTAAACTATACAGACAAAAAGGCCAACCGAGCTTACAAATCAATTATTGAACTCAATCGATTTCGGATAAGATTTTTTTGGTCGATTATAAATTTGAAAACGATTATGATTTAAAGGCGCGTTTCCGTGTACAGTATAAGAAAAGAATCGTTATCTTTATGAGTATTACCTTTATTGTTATGCTTTTCTTTGGATAAGAACAAACGGCCGGCACGTTATGGGTTTGAAAACCCAAAAAAGTTTTCACATTAGTGTAATTTATCTGTTTATCACAGAAAACAGTCGCATGTCGTCCACCAACTTTGTATTACATGTACTAAAAAATTATTATCCTAAACACGAGCGTGCGGCGATCGAGTGAAATTGTATTTTTATCATGTAAAAAATATATATTCAAGCTGGCAATTTATGAGCACAGGAAATGTGAACTACTCGCTTTTGTACACGTTTTAAAGCCCGTATAAAATTATGGATTGCGGATGGAGGCAATTGAGAAGCCGGCACGTTCTCAATGCGGACACGGTTAGGGGACTTTTATTTGTTTTTACCACCACACACTGTCGGTGTGTATTTTTAGGCTGTCGTAGCTTAAACGGACATACAGTATACACACAAACAATATAGTTATTGTCGTTCAATCATACACAATAATACATCATGGGCATTACGCAATTATGGTTTGTCCAGACAATTGGTGGATCACAGTACTTTATGAGTAAAATTAGAGTGCACGAGTACAATACCTTAACACAGTCGACATATTGATCTAATAAATATACTTAAATCTTATTTTTTAGTTGATTTAAATGTTATTCGATATAAACAATTTTAATTTTCCTAGAAAAAAAGTTACAACAGTAAAACGTAACTTTTATCTGGTAACACAATTTAAGAGGATCTTGTATCTTGTAACCGGTTACAGTAAGTTGAGTATAAATCAATTAAATATTGTTGAAACTTTTTGATAGTTGAATTACATCAAGTACACGTAAAATGCAAGATACCACTCCACCCGTATATTATGGAATTGGGTATAGGTAATTTTTTACAAAATCCCAAATTAAAGGTTAAACTGTGATGTGCAATTGTTAGTTCAGTAATTAGATATTTAAAAAGAAAAAAAATTAACAAAAAACTGTCTCCGATTTCTTGATACAAATCTTACACAAATCATCTGAAAGCTAAGGAGCAAAGGAATAGAATGCGCTTAGTGATTATTATTTGGCGCCGTCCGACTTGATTGTGCAACAACAAAGAAGCCCACAGGAGGCAATAATATTATGGTATGAAAACGAGCATACTAGTTTTAATGAAGTTTTCGCAAGAGTTCACATCACATTAACGTGTCAGAAATTGCGGTTATCACAACTCGAGCCCTAAACCGCATTAATATTAAAATAATAATATATCGGCGTGGGGGAGAACTCTCATCGCCTGTCAAATCCACCCTACTAAAAAAAAAAAATAATAATAAAAAAATATAATATTATGTAAATGCAAAACGTTATCCCATATCGATGTACGGTGTTCGAATAATGGTTTGGCCTTTAGCAAACTCAACCACTTGTGATATAACTATTATTAAATTAACCAGTATATTATATTGTATTGAAGGACACAAAAAACGACTGTTATTTTTTTAAATGAATAAATTCGTATTTTTAAACTAAATAAAACAACTGTAGCCGATTCGAATAAACCCTAAAGCAATTATTGTCTATAATTTGTTTGTAAAATGTAAATCTAAAGAAAGTAACGCGTCAACTCGCAAACAAAGGATATTTTTAATGTGCTAACAACGTTTTATGGTTAAATTTAATTTGATTTTTGTGTACTGTGAAACAATGTATATTGTTGCGCTTTGTCCGTGAAAAGTTATCGATACAAAATGTTTACCACATTAAATCACATCGAACATCATTTGTATAGTTTCAAGTAAAAAACAAATGTGTTTTAACGGTTAAAAAGTTTCAAAAGTTAATCACTTACTAAACTTTTTATTAATACATAATTGATTCGTTTAAACAATATTATGGCGTGATTGAATTCTTTGTACAGCCCAATTGGTTTTTTTCTTTATAATGCCTTCTAAAACAATGATACAACTTTAGTAATCAATATAATAACGATTTTAGACAGATCTAAAATAAAAACCCTAATTTAAAAAAAAATAACTATTTTTACTATTTACTTTTTCCATGTATAGAATAATTATTTTTACATTTTAATTTATTGTAATTGAAACAGTTTGCCACTGTTTTTTAGTCCAACAAAATTTAAACTATAAGAAATTACCTTAATTTAAACGCGAGAGGATTATTGATCTACTTATTTTTTGTAAATTTATACTTCTCATCCTTTTCCATTTTCACCGATCCCCAATTTTTTTTTTAAAAATAGCAGTTATTTTAAATGTGCCCCGGCCGACGACAGTGTAGACATTATAATAGATCAAAATATATTTTTTATCAATAAATTCAATTTTAATTTTGTATATTTCGAACGAAATCAGTTTGATGTGGATTGTTGAAAAACAAATTTCTCCTTTATCTGCGCAATACTCTGTTTGGAGGACTATAGAGACGCCAATAATAATAATAATTTAAACCTAGTAGGAGTGTACCTGGCGTGACCGTAAGATATTTATATTGTATTTTTTTCCTTTGTTTTTATGCGTTGCTCAAAAGAAATACTATCCGCGTTTGTTTTTTTTTATTTTCATTTTCCGCTAATAGGTTACTCGGAAATTCGTTGATTTACAAGTATGACCATTTTGTGGGGGGGGGGGGGGCAGAAAATGGCTGATAATAATATTTATTATTTTTTTACTTAGATAAGCGAGTTAAAAACGCAAAACGGTCGAACAAACTCACTCGCTCATAGCGAATTGCGGCGCTCGCCAAAAACGTTATGTAAGCGGAATCGATTAAGCTTAGAAACTAAATGAAAATAATAGCAATATAAATGCCACGACTGCACCACCGGAACAACAGCCATTGTTTCCCCGGTTTAAATAAACGTCAATGCAGAAACCCGGTTGGGCTTGCTTTCCAATTTACTCTATTCGAGTCCCCTCTCGACTTGACTATTGTTACTCGCCCCGTGTTCACTTCATTCAGTGTCTAATATATAATATATATGATATTATATTACATCGTTCGTTTAATGGCCCACGAGTTATTAGCGAACTATTAGTCCTGAAATTTTCTGATGCCTTTTGAAAAAAGGGTTAAGACAAGTAATTGAAGAAATTAGATTTTCGCGAAAAAGAGCCTCACAATTTTACAAGTGACCAAATTAAAGATTTTATTGGCCGTGTAAAAAAAAAAGTTATTTTCGACAGATACTTAAGTTTGAAAACTTATTTTTATGAAAAGAAAAAAAACGTGACGTCTTGTAACTTTTTGGGTTCCATCGCTTCAATTAATCACAAATTACTACAAAAAAAAAATGTATTTAATTATAAAATTACAAATACCCAAGCGCTTTGATTAATAACAATGGCCACTCTTGCGGCCCATAGTTCAGTGAACCGACCACCTGAATATTTTTTACCAAACCGACATTTACAGTAGGTACAGACAGAAGTTTACCTTGCATACATACTAAGTTGTAGCCAAAATGGAAAACTGTAGAATTTTCAGGGAAATAAAGTTTATGTCCTTGAATAGCCCGTTTGAAAAAAAATATTAGTTAAATAAAAAATAATTTTAACACACATGTTTTACTGGCAAGTTAAAAAACATATTTTATATGAACGAAAACTGAGACAAACTATAAATTAATGACTCGGTGAGTTATGATGTGTTTTTTTGTTTGACAGCAAGTTAGGAACGAATGGTTATTTATATTTTGTAGACGTGTTTTCATAAAAAAACATTAGTTATTATTAATGTATTTTTCGAGAATTTGCTATTTATATTACATTTTTTTTAATGTTTTCCTGGAAAACGGGGAAAACCCTAGTTCTATTATCTGGAAAACTCATTTTACATTTTGACATTTTCAACCCTACAAAATTGCGAACCCAAAGGTGACAGGAATATTACACGCAGACTTTAATATAAAACATAATTGAGAGTTATTTATTTTTCTTTGAACATTTAAATCAATAGTTTACGTTCGAAAGACTAATACATATGTGATATGAGTTGGAATCACTGAACTAAATATATGGAATGTGTATTGTCTATTGTCGGCTGCCATTTTGTGAACAGTTACTGTTTTGTCCATGATATTTATTGTTTTTTTTTATATATTATCACCACCTAACCTAACATTTTAATATTTATCATAAAAAAGTAACGAAGGATTTTTGCTTTCCATGAAATTGGTACACAAAATGACTGCCTTCCAGGTTGAGTTTAGTGGTTAGGAGCGATAAATTTGGTCATATTTACTAATTAAAAAGTCACCTGCTATTATTAATTATAGCGTAAAGCACATTGGGCAAACGATACGTAAATATCGTACTCAAGTGTGCGCCATATGAATTAAAAACAAAAAAAAAATTAACCAGCTTTTGGCAGTTACTTGTAATCTATGTAAACAAATATTCCGCAAAAATCGTTCCAGGATCTAGCTACATTTCCCACATGCCCAATCCAAATATTATGTAGTACTATGACTTGTTACCTCCTTTGTAAGTTCTCAACGCTTGGCTATGTGCCCGACCGACACTGTTCCTTATATTGTACATTACATTACACAAACCGATCCGTCACATATACATATTATATGTATGTGTAAAATACGACAAATAAAGGGTGGGTGAGACGGAGAGAGATAGGGTACTTAACCTGCCCCAACGTCGGCCGTGTCGAGGGGTGAAACAAACGGTTGGCGACGGTATTATCCGTGTGTGTGTTTTTTTGTTATCAGGTATTTCCTTTAAAAAATCAAAATATTTTAGCTTTTTTTTTTTGGAAAAAATTAATTCGTATTTGGTTAAAGACTGTCGTCGTGCTAGCAAACAATTTCTTATTAAACTTTAACTTACCTGGCCATCTGGTGCCAGGTAAGTTCAGGACAGATAAAACTAACGTTATAACTTGTACAATTTTCCAGCCGAAGAGCTGTTTTGATTTTCAGCACATGTACAGTTCGACAGACAAAATAAACCGTGCTGTCAGACGACCAGGTTCATAATGCGGTTACAGCCGGCGAGTACTATCCAAGAGGTTCTTGAAATGGGACTCCCGTCCCCAACGAATTTTCCCTGTTCGAGCAAAGCAAACGTCCCCAAAGACATACACACACGGA